CATCTTCATTCAGGGTGAAGGATGATAGCAGAGGTGGGGAGCTCCTCACCAGTGCCCTGCCTTCACAGCAGCACTGCCTGAGCACTGGGTTTGCCTGCACCAACCCTCCGTGTTTACCGTGTCCCCTCCCTGCCCTCTCCCCCCCGTTCCCAGGCAGATCACTCTAACAGCACAGGACAAACAGGCGTGTACCAGCCCTGTTCTTGCTTCGCTCCCGCGCAGCCCTGACTGTTTGGTAGAAACAAAAGAAAGCAATTTTCCTCCTCTCCTTGCGTATTTGGGCATTGTCACTCTAGCAACAGGGGATGTGCGAGGTGCCGCAGGGTGAGGGGCACCCGTGGTGGCAGGGGTCTTGCCCTACCATGTCTGCAAGGCGGTCAGATCCACTTCTGCCATGCGCTGTCAGGGATAGCTTGTGGTAGCCCTGAGGAGCTCATCAAAGCTCTCCAGAAGGCAGGCTGAAGCCTCAGGGCGGGTTCTGACATTTATACTGATGAAAGAAAAAGAGTGTTTTCATCAATGGAGAAAAATCAGGGGCAAAATTCAGTCTGAGCATGCCTACTCTTCAGTCACTTCAGGCTATTTGTAGGTACAGGGGACTCTTGCCCACTTGCAGGGCTCTGGAAGAGCTGAGCTACCCGGGTCTAAACTCACTGTTGTGGTCTGATGAGGGACGTGCTTCTGCCAAGAGCAGCGGATGAGATGGATGGCTATGGCACATCCCAGGGCCCTTGATGAGGATGCTCTGTAACACAGTGCTTCAGCAGAGCACAGACCACTGAGCTGGAGGTGAAGAGCAGCAGGAGTGGGGCTGTACGGAGAGGAGCGGGGCTGCCAGAGGTCATGGACGAGAGCCGCAGTGCCAAGGTGCCGGCATGGTGCGTGCCACGGGGAACAGCGCAGCTCATCCCCGCCACCCTGCTGCTCTCCCAGCCTACTTGCAAACTCAGATCAGCATCATCAGTGCTGTCATCTTCTAGCAAAAATGTTCCTCATCCCACTCACAGGCAGTCCCATGTCCCCTCAGATGACCACCCATCCAACTGTCCATCTCAGCACATGGCATTATGCTCGCAGGCACAGCTATCTCATTCCTGCCCGGACTTTCAAGCTTCCTCCATCTCAGCCACGGCCCCACGCTTGGATTAGAGTAGATTGCATGGGGCAATTCTCCTTGTGCCCAGAAATCACAAGGCCAGTGAACAATGTCAGCTAGACTGGGACTGGACACAGCTGGGCTGCTTCATGAGAGTGATGCTGGAGCATGAGTAGGAGGACACAGGGGCTTCCTGCGGAGGCAAGAATGGAGTTGGAAAAACTCAACTGACATGGGGGGGTCCCAGTTGTCACAGACACTGCCCAGTGACACACGCTGGTGTCTTGGTGCTGGTACTCCCGCTATCCTCTCCAGCCAGCGAGACACAGTCCTGGAATGGGATCAGACACAGCATCTCCCCCACGCCCTG